AGTCATTTCAGAAACATTCTATATAACAAAATAATTTTTTAACGAATTAAATAATTGTGATAGTAACTTTCATTTGACAAAGAAATGCAGTATTGCCTTATCTATAAATTTTATTCAATTTTTTTATCTACACATATTTTTTTATAATATATATATTATATTATAATATATACAAAATTGTATCGAAAACATTGCAAATAAAACATAATCAAAAATTTTATATATCTAGCTTAATTAATTATAATATTTTAATATAATATATATTTTAACATAATTGAACATATAATTCAAACATAATTTAACGTTGAATAATTGAGCATTTATTCTTATAATTTGATTTTTTCATAAAATGAGTGAATATTTTATTACTGACTTATACCACTTATTTGCTCTTGATAATTCAACTTTTATTTTTGTGAACTTTTTATCTGAACTTCAACATTGACAACTAAGTTTAAAAATTATGATACAATTGTAATGCGAATTAGAAATCGCGATTATTTTATGCTTGTTAGTTAGATTCCGCGAATTTTTTTTACGTATTCCCAATTTTTCATTTTCTATTTAGGTAATTTTTATTACACGAAAGAATTATGAATTTTATATAATTTAATTTATGTCAATTAAAGAATTTCGCGAAAATTAAAATTATTATAAATATATTGATATAGACTCTCTTTTCGCGATTTAGTAGAATTTAGCTTTTCTTTAGTTTTCTGCTATTGATTGTGTGTGATGCGCGATCTTTCATTTTCATCTTATTATTCATATATTCGCGATAAAATTCATCAAATAAATAGCACATATATCATCGGATTTTCGCAGAAACCAAGAAAAATTTTGCGATAAAATTTTGTGTTAAAAATTTGTGATTATTCGGCAACTTGCAATTTTATGCAATATATTATTATCAATATTAAATTCCGATTTTTTTAATGGATATTTTAATGTTTTACTTTTTATTAAAAGATATTTTATTAAAAAATATTGCAGAGAAATTGTAAAATTAAGCTTAGCTATCAAAGGTATATTGAAACAATCTTCGTGAAGATATTACGAAGCGAAGTGATCTTCGCAAAACTAGTGTGTGTGTGTATGTGTATACATATAAACGAATATATAAACTAAAAATTTATATATACTGAACAAATTTATAAATTTTATTTCACGTGACGCGATAAATATGACTTAAATTTAATTTATAAATATTTTGCAATACAAGTTATGATTAAAAAGATTCGCAAATTAACTCGTGTAAAAACTGAAGTGCAATAGAGACATATAAAATCCTTTAATCAAATCTGCAAATTTTATTTTACCATAAATATTTGTTCATTAGCACAAATTCAAATTATTAAATTATTAAATTCGTTAAAATGACAATTTAATTAACTATTCGCGTCGTGAGTGTATTGTGACATCGATTATGAACTATCGACAACGGACTACATATGTATAGACCGGACTCTGGATATTTGGAGACTGCATATGGACACTGCACCATTTCCGAGTGCGGCGGAAGATGTATCACTGGACATCGAGGGACATCGCGAAATGATGAGTTTAATTTTACCATTAATAATTTATAATTTTACCATTAATCTGTTTTCTAATTACACTTTTTGCACTTTGTATTATATATTATTTCATATAATTAATATATTATTAATATATTATTTATTAATATATTAATATTATATTAATTAGTTAATATATTATTTCATATAATTAAATATCACGATTAGGAAATAAATATTAATTATAGTAATTATGAAAATAATTTAAATAAGTTTTCTTTGCAATTTTTTTTAGTAAGAATAAAAAAATTAGATGTAATATTAAATATGACGCTTATCTATGAAAATATGTAAATATAAATTTACAACAAATCTATATAAACGTGTAAATTTTAGAAAATTGTACATATATTAAAATTATATTTTATATAATCTAATTTTTCATTTGTATATAAATTTATAAGAAGTAAGATATGCAATATATATAAAGTGCAAAGTGTGTACATAAAAAGAACAGATTATCTGTATATATATATATATATATATATATATATATATATATATATACTAATTGCGTACTAATACATAGTAGTAGTATTTTGTAGTAATCGCATTGATTTCTCTCTAATATTAAAAATAAGAACAATCATATGCATTGTTAAATTAACAATTTTATATTTTGTGCATCGCGTCGCGAATTTTTATTTATTATATAATTTTACATATATACACAGACTTGCATTTACAATTGCGATGCAAGTATGTGAAATTAACATTTTTATATTTTTCAAATTGATATTTTTTTGTTGTATAATTAATGAAACTTTTATATATATCTTTATAAATTCAATATTTCAGATATCTTTCCTGAAAAGTGTGTTTTCAGATATATTTATGTATTTGTTTCTGATATATTTATATCCAAAAGTTTCTTTTTACTCAATTTTTATGCAAGTTATCAAGTTTTGCAATTTGTAGACATTTATCTTTATAGATTTGATATTATTTACAACTTTTTAACTTTTTTAACTTGACATGCATATCCAATAATTAATTATATTATTAGACATGATATTTTCCCTGCCCTTTTCATATAGGTGTAGTAATAAAAAATAAGTTAACATACCCAAAGTAGAATGTTTCTGAAAACAGATAACAATTCCCTTTTATTACTTAATTTCGTTTTAATATCACAGAAAATGAAGTAAAATTGCTTGCAATTTGTAATCGCGTCTTTCACATTTTAAACAAATAAATGTATTAAAAAGAACACAATAGGCAGTAAATTATATTATTATGTAAGAAAGATGAGAGAAACACTTTCGGATTAGCTCATGATTCCAATTACAACTTTGTTTCGCGAAAATCACCTGGTCATTTCTATTTACACGTTGATTCTCAGTCGTAAATTGTATAACGAAGCTCTGTCACGTAGTTTATTGAATTTACTGAGGATTGTGCCGGTAAAACGCGGTCTTTTTCTCGCTTTTTTAACAACATATGATATTAATCCGTCAGTATATCGCCTTCGACATTGTTACTATCGACTGTGTAAAATTCATCTTGCCAAAATATCGTATCTCATCGCTGTAATTTTCTTGGTTAGGCATTGTATCTAGAAGCGTAGCGAATTTTTCTCGATAAATTTTAATTAAATGAAATTTTAAGTCGATGCTGATACATACATTTCGTTATCTTTGTCGATGCAGCTCGTATGCTTCGCAATATACATTCAAATTTTAAGATAGTAAAAAGAGATTACGTGCTTTCGCTCCATTTTTTCTCGAGAGCTTAAATTTAGTTTATAATACTAGTATGACATATTGAATTTATCTTTTAGAAAAATATACTTATTTAATCTGTCTTTTCTCTTTAAAAATCTTTGAAGTGAACTATTCAAAAATGATGATCACTTGAAATTAATACAAATGAATAGTTTGTTTCGTATCGATGTAGTTTATATGATTGCAATATAAATTCAAATTTTAAGACAGTTAAAAGAGATTATGTGCTTTCTCTCTCTCTTTTTCTTATCCGAGGTAGCTTAAATTTAGTTTATGATACTAGTATGACATATTGAATTTACATTTTAGAAAAAATATTTATATTTTTATTTTGCTTTAAAACTCTTTAAATAAATTATATTCAAAAGAGATAATCATTTGGAATTAATATAAATGAATATTTTCATAAATCAACTAATATGTTATTCTGTTCTTTTCATAATATAAAAAAATTATAAATTCAAACAATTATATATATTAAAAATCTTAATCCAAGGGTATAAGATGAAACATTTATATAACAAACATAATTTAAGCATTTAAGGATGATCAATTGTGAAATACTGTTATCGATATCTAATTTTTAAACATGACAGATTGAACAGAGAGAAATAGAAGATAATTGATGACGAAGATTAAAAATAAAAAATAATTCGGTTAGACTATTACATGAAAACATATAAGATTCGACGATTATAATCGTCGGAAGAAAGATTGATTACAAATTATATGTGCAGCTTACGAAAGAAAGTGGAGACGTGGTTATTCTTAAATAACTTATAAAAGATAAAAGAAAATTGTATATCTTGGCATAGGATGTTGCTAGTTATGATTCCTATTAAATATCAATATCACGTACAGGTATCGGCAAGTAAATGTCGAAGAAAATACGAGAGAGAGAGATCTATATTTTCTAATATCGCGATAATATCATTGGTCATCTCCAGTCCGTATCACCCGTACCGGGTGTCTTTATCTCCACCCCGATCCTTCGTTTTTTCCCTCAGGGAAACGGGTGGTCCACGGTGGCGCCGTGTCTGGTCAAAACGGGAACGAAAGCTTGCGCCGGAACCGCGCAGATCCTCTCCTCAGTAGTTGCCCAGACGCTGTCACGGGCGTAGCTGGATGCTGGATCGTCTCTCTCTCTCGCGCGCGCGCGTGCCGCAGGGAGGCGCTTCCTTTTCTTCTTCCTCTTCCTCCTAATCACGTCTCTCGTCGCCCTCGCCGTCGACGACGTCGCCGGTGTCGTCGTCACCGTTATCGTCGCCGCCGTTGGCGATCATTCTCGATCGCAGCGTCGCGCTCGTTGACACGACCCGATCGTCGTCCCCGAGAGCAAGGAGAAGGTGCCGGAGAAAAGGGAGGCCGACGACGAAGGATTTCTCCTGCCGGCGTGACAAAGGGGGAGGAGGAGAGAGAGAGAGAGAGACAGGCAGGCAGACAGATAGAAATAGACCGAGCGAGAGAGAGGGAGAGAGAGAGAGAGAGAGAGAGAGACGGAGAGAGAGTGACAGAAAGAGAGAGATAGGGCGAGAGTGACAGGAAGAGAGAGACAAAGCGAGAGTGACAGAAAGAGAGAGACAGAGGAGGCTGACAGGAAGAGAGAGACAAAGCGAGAGTGGCAGAAAGAGAGAGAGAGACAGAGCGAGACTGACGGGAAGAGAGAGACAGAACGAGAGTGGGAGAGAGAGAGAAACAGGGGAGAGGGAGAGAGAGGGGGTGTGTGTGCGTGTGGGTGAGTGTGTGTGTGTGTGTGTGAGAGATAGAGGGAAAGAGAGAGAAAAATGGACAGGTGGCTGAAGAAAAGCGGAGAGAAGTAGATGGAGGAAACGCGAGGAATATAGAGAAAGATAAAGACAGACCGACTGTGAGGGAGGTGTTGCTCAAGTAGTGCTCTGTGTATGGTGCAGTGCGGTGCTGTGCTCGAGATAGAGAATGGCGTGGACGGATTTCGCGTGTATCTCGCCGTGACGTAGCAAGGTAAGAGAGCGCCGTCTTACGCACTTGTCCCTACTCTCTGTCTGGTTTCATTCTTTTTCGTCGCGTCGTTCGGAGTCCGCGATCGTCGAAAAATCATGCAGCCTCGTGTTCGATCGCATCTAATGGCTCCAATTCGCGAAATTCGGAGCGACAATTGTCCATTGGTTCGACCGGCGCGATGCCGCGCGGTGCGTCTTGTCGCGTGCGCGTCGCGTCTGACGCGACGCGTGCCGTTACCACTGACAGCTCCGAGCGCTTGCTCCGGTGCTAAACTTCCAGTGATGTGTTGGCGAAGGATTTATCGAAATTGAAGCTTCAAATGTGGGATTGGATATTTTTGCTTACCATTTTGCGAGGGGAAAATACATTACTGTATTTTCTATTTTAATTTTAGTTGTTATCTTCATCTATGAATATGAATTTAGGGATGATAAATAGTCAAACGAAGTATTTTTCACGAATGATAATAGAAATATCACATTGACATAAATTATTACACTTGTTGACGATTATCGCTATTTAAATATTAATTATTCAACTCCAATATATAATTTAATTCTAATAATTTCGTCGTTGTGAAAAATTAACATCATTTAATTTTTGATGAATGTTAATGCATTGAATATACTTTGTCTTTAATTTACATAATATTAAAGAGTACAAATTAACAAGTTACATTTTATATATTTAATTTTTTCCCGTTTGTAAAATATATTGAATTATATATAAAATTACGACATAACAATATTTATTATCATACGAATAAATTTGTGATACTTTATAGAGTCATGTATATGTCGTACCTTTTGAATCTTAAATATAACAGGCATAATGTTAAAGGAGAAGCTCTTTTCTTGCTATATGCTAAATAAATAAATGATGAACAGTTCCACTAAAATACAAATGCTTGACTATATTTTTTTTAAGAAAATGTTTAATTTCGTGGATAAAATTTATGACTGAGTCTTGAATACTCAACGAATTTCATCTTTTCTGCCAGGCTTTGACGCAAAAGGCAGCGATAAAAAAAAGAAATGCGCTTTGTTACCACATTATTTATGAGGAAAGAACTTATTTATCTTGACAAGGGATTGGTAGGGCTGAGAAGAGAGGGCCGAGACTCAATAAGCGAGAATACTTTGGTGTAAACGTGGTGTATAGTAAGCGAAGATCGCACGTGACGCCGATCGATATCCCTCTCGAGTCCAATCTTTTTTATGAATCTGAAATCTTGTCTCTGTTATACTCTAAGCACACTGTTTTATCATTATGATATGAAGGAAATTGAGTTTAGAAATATTTATTCGCATCATTTTTTTGTAGCTGATTTTACGCGTGATCAACATTAATGAAAAATCAAAAAATCATAATTTTGTCGTTTTGCATATTAAAAAAATAACGGTATATTTTATTATAAGAATAATATTTTTAGTAATTAATAATTAAAATTTATATCTATTTAATAATATTTATGGCACTCTTTAATAATATAATCACAATAACCTGATCAAGTGAATATAAAAATTAATTAATATAAAATTAATATAAAAAATATGAACAACTGCTCATAAGCCCAACATTTTTCCAACTCGAGATTAGACTCCATTTTTGGCTTAAAATAAAGTTTATGACACGTAGATTATGAATATAAAAATTTCCGGATGGACCAAGTTCTGTTCAATTTTCGTCTTTATAAAAATTTTTACTCTTATAAGAAATGCTTATTTTATCGACCATTTTTTCCGTAACGGTAACTCAGTCCATCTAAAAAGTTGCATATTCGTAATCTACGCGTCATAAACTTTATTTTAAAAATAAAGTCCAATCTCGAGTTGGAAAACTTTTGAGCAATTGTCCATATTTTTTAGAAGAAGAAAATTTTATTAAATTCTATAGCATATTTATTTTTTATTTGTACAAAAGTTTTGTTATTTTTTATTTAAAAAAATAGAAATAATAATCACGTTGAAATCCTTTTTCTTTTAAATTTGATATTGATTTTCTTTGTTTCGACATCTTGATGATAATAAATTTCTTTATATTCGGTCCATTATATATAGTCTTCCATTTTAATCAGTCTATGTAAATATGACATGCAAAATTGAAAGATTTTAAGAATAATATATTACGTAACATTATTTTATTGGCGAAGGCATGCGAAGATTTTTAAGGTTTTAGCGTTCATTTCTTTCTTAAATAAAATTGTGTATTATTTTTTATATTGCAACTTCAAAAAAACAAACACTGAGAATTATGAATACATTAAACATTATTTTATTCATTAGTATCTATTTTATGAATTAATTTATATTTAATGCTAATATAATATACACAATTTTTCAACGTTAATATATGAAAGTTTCTTGAATAGTGAAATAATTTATTTAATCTTTAATAAATAACAAATCAAATGATTGTTAGATACAGATAAAATTTGAATATTTATGAATAAAGTTTTATTTTAGAATTTTATATTTTTTGCTATGTAATTTAAGTTTATCAGAATATAAGAATATAATTTATAAGAATATATTTATAAGAATATAATTTAACATTTGTTCTATATAATAATATCCTCTTTGTGCACATAATAACATTATCCAGCGTAATTTAACTTTGAATTTAAGTGTAGTTAATCTACTCTAGTTTACTCTAGCTTCTCTCTTACATCTATTTATGATACAGCAGGCGTCATGTTTGATAAAATAAATTATATAATATTTTATTTATGGTCAATTTCATTAAATTATTATAATTATTGTTATAAAAAGGATGACATTATTATGAAAATATCACAAAATTAACCAATTTTAAAAATGTCATTAATTATTTGAAAGTTAATTAATTTTAAATTTTTTAATTAGATTGCATTTTAGATGAGAAGTATGTATGATAGTATGAAAAAAACGAAGTTTGAATTTAACTTAATTCATAATATTTATATTTCACGGATTTTTTAATGAAAATTCAAATTAAATTCGATAATTTAAAAAAAATTATTATTATTGTATCGAATACATTTGAAGATCCTAGAATAAAATATTTTAGTTTATTGGCACTATCGTTATTTTTTATCACATGATTTATATAAGTTAGCTGAGATATAGAAGAATGATAGGGATTACAATTCAATTTTTGCTTCGTAGATTAAATTCCGTGCAGTTATTGGATATAACTATTTCTATAGCATACGCGCCGCTCGTAACGCTTTAGAGCTTCTTTATCGTTGTGTGACATTAAATCAAGAAAACAGACATTTGATGCAGCTAATCGTATAGTAGAACGACCACATAATTTTGTTTTATCCCGCCTCACAATTTTATCCTTGAATTTTATGATATTCATCATATCTTTTAGATTGGCCTGAATCACTGATTTTAATCTGCACTATTCCGTTATGAAAGCTAATTGAAAGTAAATTGCGTTTACTGAGATATCACCAGGAGTAAATCATCTGAAATTGAAACTCAAATTTTCATTCGTCATAATAGATACATCTCATTTGCAACGTTACTCGTGTTAATTCCGAATTAACTTGATACTAAGAAAGAAATGGATGCATGCAATTTACATACACTGCACACATATATTTTATTCACTTATCCTGTATCTCTTCAGAATTACATAAATCTTATAATTAAATCTCGAAATTAAATTATAACGGGAAACCAAGCACAAATTACGCGAAAAATTTTGTGCCGCTGTCACCGATTTCTTCACGAGATCTCGTATATGTATAGCTCTCTCGCAATGCACGATTTATAAATTCGCAGCTAAGCTGCACACTGTGCATTCGGGCGCATTCATGCGTGAGGTTCGCCGCGAAAAAGCACAGATGCCGAGTTATGGGCGACCAGACGGCGCCCCGCGTCTGTCCGGCGATGCAATGGAAAATTGCGAATCGTATCGTCAGTACTTTTCCGGGATAGAGCACCGCGAAACATATTCCATTCGCGATCTGGTGTGCAGTTAATTCCGTCGCGTCGGGAGTTGAATGCCGGCTAAACGATACTCGGTCGCATTTGCGGCCGCTCTAAACCGTCTACATACCCTTGCCTGTCGCCCTTTAACCACGTTATCGTCACTCGCTCAGTGCCTTGTCAGCGACGTTGATAACGCGTGTCAAGCATACGTTGTTGCACCAAAACCGGAATCAGGCGCTCGTTCTGCCGGAATTTAAGCTCGCATTACGAAGCTCTCTGTACACGTATATAGCATTCGCGCTTCAATTGCTCCTTTCTGAATTCAACGAATGCTTAATAAAGTATGATGGCCATAAACCCAAATGTAATAAATATATTTTAATAGGTAGACGAATCTCATCTGAGTAAATTAAAAAAATAAATAATTTCCATAAAGAGTTATTAATTTATATCAAATGATGGCATAACATTATTTTAATGTACTAAATACTGTTTTGATATTGAAATATATTCTTCATTATTATTTTTTTTTATTATTTGGTTTTTAATATCTGTAAGTGATGAGATTTGACAAAATTATCATATTCTATGCAATAATAAATTTAAAAAGATTATATTTTTATCAATAATGTAGTCACTTGGTGATTATAAATTTCTCAGATTTTTTCTTCTTTAGATTTTTAAAAACTTTTTATACATAATATTGCTTTTATTATTTGAGTTATTTAAGAATACATAAAATAGAAAAATTGCATTAAAATTAATATTCTTATTATTTTATTATGTTATATATAAATAAAAACAAGATTTAAATTATAAAATTATAGATCCAATTTATGTTAAAAAATAAAATGAACTTTTAATTAAATTTCTAATTGCTTTTTTATATTAAGATTTATAATGAAATGCAATTTTATATTAATTATATTGCAATAATTCACTTTATTCTTATTTCTCTCAAATTAGATTAAATATTGAATTGTACATTTACATAAATTATATAGTAAGTTTTGCGAATCTGATTCACTAGATACCATTACCGATCAATCGTTTTCTTCTATAAACTTATATTGTATA